GGAAGGTGAAAGAAAAGCAGATTATTTTAGAAGCATTTGTAAAATGTAAAACCATTATGTATAGTTGAGTCAAAAGGTAAGAAAACACTGAAGTTGGGTATTATGTGAGAATTGAAACACCTTGCAGACATGTGGTGTAGATCTTTATTAAATCTTTATTGCCAACACTTGAAGATTTGATGGGATGAGGTTGGATTACAGGTAATGTTCTTTCCTGTTTGATTCTGGTTATCTGATTGCCCCCACTGTGAGAACGCATGGGTATGAACCCTGTCTGAGCCACTGAACCCGGGCTGACCCGGGCAGCTGGAGAATGAATCACAGACATGTGAATCACAGACATGTGAATCACATCCGTTGTCTTTTTCTCTTTCTGTTGCTGTTTACATTCACAGCATGTGTCTCCCTTTCTATTGGAGTGAAAGTTGGAAAAACACAGGGAAGTGTTGACAGATCAGAAGACGGTTTGGAGGATGTAGTTTTGTTTCAGACAAGAAGCCTGAACAGCTGCGACCATTTGGGAACCAAAAGACAGTAATACTCCATCGTACCTCAGACCAGTCAACAGTTTCAATGGTAGCAGTCGACTAGCGGTCTCATTATCAACACATTTGTTTGTAGCCTTTATTTAACCAGGCAAAATCCCATTGAGATCAAGCGATCTATTAGGGAGACCTAGAGATTCAGTCTTCGACAAAAAAGTTAAACAACAACTTTTTAACAGATAATGTTAGTTCATTATCAATTACTAATGTCAACATTTGAGATTATGTCTGAAAGCAACTCTGAAATTATATAATAAAATGCATTCATTTGTCAAAACTTGGCATGATCTTTTGCCTTCAGCGGACGCTATGAAATGTCGATAAAAAGAAAATTCCTAGTTTGCTCTTTTATCTTTACGTGTGTAGATGTACATACAGATACCTCCTTTCAAGATTTTGCGATTCTAATTGAAGGAGAAATGAGAGAATAGATGCCGGCCTTCACTTCTAACACTCTTCCACATCCCAGATAACAGAGAGGAGTAGAGTGGAGAGGATGTGTGGTAGATGGATGGATGTCAGTGCTGTAGTTGTCCATACAGCGCTTCACGTTCTGATATTTTCATTTGGCGCTTTATTGCTCCCAGTTGTTGGGTTGAACAAAATGGGGCCTACAAGAAGAGAGAGGAGGTGGAAGTCGCTCCACCAATCCTTTGCTTTATTCCCTGGCAGCACTTTGTTTGCGAGAAATGTCACAGTAGCTAAATCAAACAGAGCCAAGTATACCAGAAACAGACACAGCATCTGGAGGTTTAAAGGATGTTTATACGTGTCTTTCTTTATGTGAGCCAAAGGGGATCTAGATGCTGGGGGAATATTGATATGCACTTGGTAAAACATTCACCAAATAAATGGTTGCTCCTAATGATTTGAGAGAAGACGAAACAGTGAAAGATAGGTTACATACGTGTGATTTGCAGATGCAACCAGTGAAAGTGTTGATGGATAAATTGCTTTGAGGTTGGTTGCACTTGTCAGAATGTAGGTTGAACATGCCTCAGTATATAGTCTGTGTGGGAATATGTGTGTGTATCTTTCTTTACTATGAGTGAGCTTATACACAGGACTGTGATGTTGTGTCATTCTCCTGTATCTGCCTAAAAGTGTCCCATGTTGAGACTAATAGAATCCAGGCAGAGATCCAGATGTTTGTTTCTCTCAGTGTAAGGTATTTGACATTCTCACACACACATAAACACACTTACAGTCCTAAGGGGGACTGCTAGCTGACCGCATGTTTTCCCACGTACAGAGATGTTTAGAAGTTTAGAGTTATCTTCCTCAATATTTAGAACTTGTGTATGTGTCCTCCCAAATAAAACAAGAAGAATTGTATTTGGAGCAATCTCTACAGCTGCAGCAACTTTGGTAAAGAAGGGGGCAGTATGCAAGCTCAAAAACAGGCAACACTGCTATAAAAAGGGAAAAGGAGGCAATGTTGAGGCGCAGCATCGGCAGATAGAGCAGGTCGGGGCTGGAGGACTTCAGCAAACACGGCTAAGGCTGCTCCAAATATAAAGGCAAATTAGCGAGAGAAAGCAAACCAAAACCTGAATGACTGACAAACAAAACCCCTCCCAATTTGTTTAATGTGTCCCCCAATGTTGGAATTAAACTTGCGCCACTCTATCATTTGGTATCCAAGAGGCTTTTCACTTGCTTATTTTCATGCTGCTGAGTGAGCGTGCTTGCATCCAGCGTTGCTTCTGTGTCTCTTAGAGAGATTTATGCTCAGGATGTAGTTTTCTTTCCTAGCTGTTGGACATTTTTTGAGGCCCATCTTTCTTTAGCGATTTTCAACACCTGTAAGAGTGAAGGACGACCTCGTTGCTCAGCACTTGTCCTCCCATCTTCGCACAGCGTCTTCTTTTTTTACATCTGTTTTACTGTCCTCATCCCCTCAGTCTGCTCCTTTGACATCCTCCTATGTGCTTTACATTGTGTCAACCCACCAATCACAGAGAAACCTTTAGCTTTGTTATGTCTTTGTAACCTACTTTCGATGTTGATAACTTTTGACCTCTAGTGAAACAAAAGGGAGAGGAAGTTATGATACAGCCCATTACTGTGTCAAGTTAAACTGTATCTCTTACTCTTGAAGGTACACACTTCTAGTTTAGTGTGCGTGTGTGACCTTTTCTGCCCCTGGTATGCCACCGCGTCACAGGAAGTCAAGACTGACACCTAAGTCACATCAAGTGTCTGCGTGTTTATGTGTTTGTTTGTATCGCAGCGGGAGGGGTATGCGTTCACTGCCCTCTCCTGAAATGGGAATCGGAACCACTTCTCTCCACTTTTTACATACGCTCTGCTCTCCAGCGCTGCTGTTTTTTACATTATTTCCTCAGTCAATCCAGTCTTACATCAGCTTGTCATCACCAACCTCCATTCCCCCTGAACCCAGCCACTCAGGACTAATCACAACCCTACGTTTCAGTCACTCTGACGCCCGCTCCTCCAGCGCTTGGCGACCGAACTGTCAACATGCCGATGTCAGCCTTTTATGTATCAAATAAAGGTAGAGCAGGCATGGCCCCCTGTGACCCATTTCTTATAATGCATATCCCTGCTTGGGAGGAGGCACTTTAAATGGCCAATGACCATGTTGTAAGGATGTTTTAAGGGATTGTGAAGTCATCCACCCCTCATTCAGACTTTTTTTGTTGCACCGCTATTATTCCTCCTGCCTGGACCCTTTTATCATTTGTAGCTGGACTATATCTCTTTGTCCGTCCGCCCTGTTTGATTTCTCTACCCCAACTGTCTCTCCCCATTTCACCACTCCCTTACACATTCTTCTCTCCCCCATTCCAGCTTGTCCTCCCCATCTCCCTCCCCTCCACCAGGGGAAATGCTCTCTGCAAAACAGCTCCACGCTGCTGTGTATGGCTGCGGGGGCTGAATCAGAGGAAGTACAGCCCACTATGGTATATGGAGACTAATACTGTAATATAAATGCTGCGGCTGGCAGAGTGTGTGCGCTCGCTGGCGTCTGTGTCTGAGGTTTGAAGGTGTAGAGGTGTTAAATGATTAAAACTGTTGAAACATACATTTTAAATGAGTCAGTATGTGCACATGCTGTACTCATTCTCCATTGTTACATTTTAAAATGGTTTCTTTTTGTTGCCAGCAAAGTCTGGCAGTTGTAAAAAAAATAGTATACTCTAAAATGGTCCAGATCAAATTGAGCAGAGGCAGCACTTAACACTATTTCATGCTATTTTATAAATCAATTCCAAAGTAATAAATAGCGTATTGCCATTGCTTAAAGGAGGGAAAGAAGGATGAAAGAGGGGGAAGTAGAAGGAGGTGGAGGAGCATGATTGAGGTCTCTTTGAAAAGGTTGGCACAGTCAGGAAATGATTAGGCCACTACAACAACCCCAATAATGACAATAGGGAAAACATGTCTGCAGCCACTACCACTTAGCATCAGGAACAGTATGGTTCCTATTTCAATACAAGAGCAGGATTGTATGTGGGAGGATAGGAACATATAATGTAAAGAGAAGTAATAAGGTGTTACTTACAGGAAGGTTTCATGCTAAGTAGAAAGCTAATGGCGGCAGATTTACCTAAATACTTACTATTTTTTTATTTCACACAAAGCCAAGCTTCCAAATACTGCGAAGGACTGTAGTAAGAGCTACAACAGCTAGCGAGCTATCGTTAGCTTCATGTTGTTTGAAAACCCTGGCTTACCTGTTATGAATGAATGGGCGTCTGTGTGAAATAGTCCTGAATATGTGGGTAATAAATTATATCATGCTAAAACACTGAGGTTAAAGCTTCAAGTACCACTACCAGGTGTGAGTTTTTTCGTTCATACATGAATCTTTTCCGATGTAGAAAAATGTACCTGGACCAGCAACAGGTGGTGGATAGTCATAAGATTATAAGGGATGCAAAAAACTTGAAGCTTGGCCTTCTTTGGGGAAGAAGTTGAGCCTGAGCAGAAATCTGTGTTTCTTTTGTATTGTCTATTACACCATATGTTGGTACAATACTTCTCTTAAAATCCCACGCGAACTGTCATGGGGTTCAGCGGCAGTGTGTGGTTTATGGCCTTTAGGCAGCATGAGGTCTGAGACTTAGCTCACCACTCCTGCTGGACACAATATCTCCTGTATCCCCTACAGCCTTCTCCTGCCATTTATTACGACTTTACCAGATTTCTTCATAAACAGAAGAATACATTTTTCCGGAAAGCTGGTGGTACCAGGTCCAGTTTGTTTAGTTTAACATTTGAGTGTGACCTGATCTTGGTTGTCATTTAGTTTTTGTTTCTAGCCTCTGAATTTGTGATTGCGTCACTAGAGCTCTGATATTTTAGTGTTGTGCCAGCCCACACAAACCTAACGCCAGGCAACACATGACCACCAGCAGTGAAACAGCAAGTGATGCTCCGCTGTTCTCTACTCATCCCTGCAATGCTGATTTGCGGGATTTACAGCTCTGTGTGTGTGTTTTCACAGGGCCTCCAGGAAAGCGTGGACGGATGGGAAGAAGAGGGGAAGCCGGTAAGTGATGGCCTCCACCTGCTCTGTTCTGCTTTCCTCTTCTTTTTCCTGAAAGACTCTTCTCCTCTCTCTGACACACTCTCTCTTCTCTGGGGTGATTGGATGAGTTTGAGGACTTGTAAAAGCAGTGACCCGAGAGTCAGGACGTTGGGATGATGGGCTGCAGTAAGCCCTTCGCCCTGTCCCTCCCTATTTGTGCCGACATAATGCTAACATCAGCCATGTGGTTGCACTAACTTTACCCAGATGTCAGTCGCTCTCGTTGAGCGGTAGCAGCTGCTGTAGTACGAGCCTAATGAGATTCTCCGTTGCCGACATCACTACCCGCCATTATTGTGCTGCTCTTTCTTTCCACCCAGACCGCAAAACACTCATCGAGGAACCAAAACATTGCAGAGACATAATTCTTGTTACTCAAAAGGTCGTCAGGACAGATAGAGCGGATGTTACTCAAGTTTAAGTCACTCTCGTTTTAATTGTTTTTTTATTGAGTGTTGACTCAAATTGTGGAGCGACATTTTTAGAAGATTTTATCAAAACCTGCAGGACTGAAGTTGTTCTGCAGGATATGTGTCAGGTGGAAAAACTTCCAGTCTGGCTGTGATTCATCGTTGTGGATTAGGCTAGATTAAATCTGTTCCTGTGAATATGTTGACTAACATTTATTGCTCAACTGAGTGCACCAAGATCCTTCCTGAAGGTCTCTTGTCCTTTTTAAAGCAGTAGAGTATATTTAAAATGTATTATTGCAATTTTCTTTATACCATATATTTACCTTTTAGTTTTTTAGACATAGAATATTCAATGATGGCTTGCGGCATATCTAAAGTTTCTTATGCAGTGCCATGGTGGGAATTCAGTTTTCTATCTCTCGCTAGAAGTATTTAATATTTTTCATAAATGAAAAGCAACAGTTGGACAGTCTCCCTTCCCCAGCCTAAATGTGTCTCTGATTCAAACTAAAGTTATAAATCTTCCATAACAACAATGACCATTTAAAAAAAGTAATTCCCTTAAACAGCCAGGCACTAAAGTTTGTAGCAAACTCTCAAGCTGATGTTAAAATGTTTTTTGGGGCTATCCCAGTGCAACGTTGTGACACTCTAATGTGCTTTTAATAGTTTTTGGACATCAGTAGTTGATGGTTCTGGTATTCGCTTGGGATTAATTGACAGTTAGAAAAGTCACCAGACCACATACCCTCTTAAGTATCACATGAACTCTGAATCAACATAGATTGCGGAAATCCCTCAGAGTTGTGCGATCCAATTAGGCACAGGAAAAATAAAATACATTTCATAAGGGTGGTGTGTATTTCCAGCCACTTTCCAACAGGAAATTGTTTTCCAAAGGGATTATCATTACGGGAAAGCACATCGTTAAGGTTTCTCCTGAAATGGGACTCATTGGCTGCTTGCTGTTTGTCGCAGGATGGTCTGTCTCGAATGATGAGGCTGTGTTTAGGTTGTCTTTCTTGTTGTTTACCTTTGCGTCCTCATCTTGCAGTCTGGGTAATATTGAGTAGAGGTAGGTGGCACGGAGAGATTGTTGCGCCATCCTCTTGCTAGTGACTCGAGCTTTTACAAGATCAGAGAAGGCTTTCCCTGTTCTTTCAGAGAAAAAAACAAATAAGAGTGGAGAGAAACAGAAACAAAACCGGACAACAGGAAAGAGGGCAGACGGAGTAGTTAAGCATCTTTCGCCTTCCCTCCTTCGACAACACTCAATGTTTTTTATTCTGTTTGCTCTTTTACTTCTTTTCTTTTGACGTATGTTTACCTTTCTCTCTCTCTCTCTTTCTTTCTCATTAGTCTCCAGACTTGCACACACCTGTCTCAAGTTCAATGGTTAAAGCTGGTCTAACTGTTGCTCTCTAAGCAGGCTGCATTTGTTTACCTAATTGTCTGGCCCAGAAGGCCTTTTTCCCGGCGTCTAGACGCAGCTGAAGTTGGTTGACTTGCTCTTCATGCCTCATAAACCCTGACACCTCTGTCATGTTTTTTCCTTTTCACCTTCTCACCCCAACCACCTTCTGTTTTTCATCCCTTTTTCTACTTCTCATATCCCCAAAATGCCCTTTGTCTTGAATCAAACTACAATCTTCAAGGCTCACAAAGATTCTCGTCACATTAGCAATACTTTTTTTGAATGCTTTAATAGTGTCAAAACTCCACAAATATTCCACTTTCTCAGAAGGAGGTCTGTTTTCAATCTTGTTGAGTTTATGTAGATGTTTAGTGTTGCATGGATGCTGATGAGCTTTGTTGTCCCAGGACAGCACTGGCGGCATAGTGCCCAATCGTGCCACTGTAATTGTGTTAGCAATCACATAAATCAGCATCATGATTAGTTTTAAATTGTTATCAGATCAATATTAAGCAATCACCAATTAAGTATATTTTAATGGCAAAATGATAAATTCAATTTGAAGGGTTTGAGTGGTTTATTGCTGCCCTTGGCATTGGACTTTAAGAGATTGTTTTTCCTTTATAAGAATAGTCCATCAACATCAGAGGGGCCTTTTGATCATTACTGTTGTTTTTGGTTAGTCTGAGTAAGAAAAGCAGAATGTACTTATTGCTGCTGAGGCTCAACATCAGAGAATTTCAATAAGATCTGAAAAACTGCCTGGAGTAATATTGAAGGCATCTTGTTTGTATGCTTAAAGGGACATACAGTTTGCCAGCACACCCCCAACTTTTTATGTCCTCCATTTCATGCACCCAAATCTTAGGAAACAAAGTATTCACATGACTTCATATCCTAATGCAAAACATGGCCCATTATCCAGAAGTCTGTTTATCATAACAGGTTCACCACAAAGTCCATTGGCAGCGGCTCTAATGAGCTTGTTCTGTACCATATTTAGCTGGTTAATTACAGTCATCATCTTACAAACCACATTGCATGCGCAGTTTTTTTCTGTTGCTCACCACTGTCCCGAGGAACTGATTGCTACAAACCAGTGGTAACCATAAGTCCCACATGTTGTGCTCCATTATTTTCTAATGTCTAATTTCTCTTTCTCTCTTTTTCTGTTGCAGGCCTGCCTGTAAGTATAATTCCATCTCATCCAGGTAGTATTGAAAACCACTCATGAGTTACTGAACGTGAAGCCTTTTCTTACACACAGGTACATATCATATTCTTCACTATACAAACTATGGATTTCTCTCTCACCTGTAAAACAAGAACACACAAACTGTCACAGACTCACTCACACATGTGCATCCACAGAGTGCGGCAGTAAATGGACCACCTAGAGAGCTGTGTGTGTGTGAGCTAGTATCTCTGAAAGTGTGTGTGTGGGTGATGGTCAGGGAGCAATGAGTTATTTTCCTCTGTGGGACAATAACTCCTGCTGACACTCGCACACCCAGCCGATAAAAAAACAAAAGTACACAAATACTAACTGGACACTACTGCAGCCTCCTGGTTTGGATTTTTTAAATCTAAAATTAAATGTTGTGACCTGTCTGAGAAGAGTGACCTGTCTGTTATTTTATTTTTTTAATCAGAACGTTTTAGTCACATGTGGCACAGATCAGATATGCAGAGATGCAGCTTATACGATCCGTTACACACCATGACGCAATTCCAGAAATATCGGAGTGGCGTGTTAAGCTGACATTTTTTAAATCCAGGAAATGGTTTTGTTGAAGAAAATGTTCTATGCAGCTGGTTTACACTAAGACCACACCCAATGTGTACCCTTTTGCCCATAAAATCGAGGAAAGGTGGGTCAACGTGAAATCACTTCCTTCTCCACAAAGTAACACTGTCAGTACAATTTGTCTTAGTCAAGTTTATCGGCAGGAAGCTTTAAAAATCGACACAGTGGCAATTTGCCTTACCTTTATAGCTCAGGTTTGAAAGCAGATGTTAACGGGTGCCAAACACCTCGGATTTAAGTCATAAGTTGTTAAACTGGGAGTCAACAGTAGTAGTATAAACACACTGTACTGAACAATATAGCCTTCAGTCAATAAGTCTACCTCAAAACTCAATATGGAGTCATTCAATCTATTCAAAAGTCTTTGTACAAACTAGAAGAAAATGAATGAAGACCCTGCGTGGCGTTAAATACTTGTCTCGTTCAGAATGAAGTGTTACATACAGTATACAGGGTGGTGTGTGTGCAGCTGTCTAACCTGTCTCAATGCTTCATGCTTTAATCTCTAACCTCACCAGGGCAAGGCTGGACGGGATGGATACCCGGTAAATTTGATTTGTTATTTATCCTTTCACTCTTCAATTGACCCAATCATGCCTCCATTTTCCTTTTGTTTATTCCCTCTGGATTTATTCCAACTTTTCCTGCAGCTTCAGTAGTCCTTTTTCTGTCTCTCCACAAATTACTCTAATCTTCCTGTTTCCTTGCCTCTTCATGCCCCCTTCAACATTTGCTCCTCTTCAAGTATGTATCCTGCCCCATCACTGAGATGTAACTCAAATACAAAGAAAGTTGTATTTAAACACAAACAGAAATAGCCAGCCCGAGAGTGGCAGGATGGGATGAACGTCTTTTAACACAGAAAATGTAAAACATCACAAATGACTCACTCAAGGCTGAAAATAGTGCCATAAAACATATTTAGCGCATGTGTGAAAATGAGTAAACCTGAACAGTAAGCCGAGCACTGCTCGGCGAGCAGTAAACACACAGACCGATTTTGTGAAGATCTCATCTGTAAACATAAACCGCAGAAGTGTAAACAATGCCTAGGAAAATTTGAAACATTCTTCCACAAATTTGAAATGGGATTTTAATACTGTTTGAACTACATAACTGAGAACATCCTGGCTACTGAATACAGAGCAGATCACTGTTTTCTAGACTTAAAGGTAACTGTAATTACATTTAATTTATGTTGAGGTACTTACACTATACTTAAGTATTTCCTCTTCTTGTTATCCTAAACTTGTACTCCACGGAAATATTGTACTTGTTCCTCATGTCATTTATTTGATAGCTTTAGTAAGCATTTACTTTGAAGTTTGGGTTTTAATACAACAAATTAACCTAGTAACTGAGTAAGTTAATCAGCCCCAAATCTACCCACTGCAGCATTAAAGTGCATATTACAGCAACAATAACTACAATCCAGTAATATATTTGATGACTCTTAAATGCCACATTCTGCCCAACTAGTACTTTTGGGTATATTTTGATGCTATGTAATTTCAATTTAGGAAAATTAAGAATACAGGAATTTCTTTACAATATTGTTTTGCTACTTTTACTTAGTTAAAATATCTGAATACTTCTTCCATTGCTGGATTTCCACCAGTGATGCCTAACACAAGACTGAGTGTGTTCTTGTCTTATCCTGAGATACAGCGGCCTCTTGTGGCCTCAGACTTCTGGCTTTCTCCACAGCTTTTGAGATAAAACACAACGGCTCTGTTGCTGATTCGTCCTGGAGCCATCATCATATTCTCATCATCTGATACAGATGCACCCTCATGATTCATCACAACTGGATGTGTGTTCAGTTCACATGAAGCCTGCTGTGTACATGTTTAGTGAGACACTCTGACCCGCTAGGTTTAAACCCCCTGCCCTGCTCTGTCTGGTTGCCATGGCGACCCTCACTAGTTGCCCCGGTGTTGTGTTGCACGGCGTCTTGTTTGTTGTGTTGTAGTGTCTCACTGGGAATTTTGGGAAGTTCATTACCCACGGGGCTCGCTCCCAGTCAGATTCCCAGTCTGCCTGGCACTGCTCGGCCCTCCTGACGGGAAATGCCTGCTGATAATTACACACAGGTGGACCGAGAGAGCAGAGTGTACACATTTATTTTTGTTTGCCCGTGACTCCATTCATCTCTGTCACTGTCTTCATTAGACAACGCAAAGCTGTGCCAGTGTTTCTGTTTTTCACTTTAAAACAGCTGCTTCGTTAGATGTAAATCTTAATAATCTGGATAATCCTTCACTGTCTAGTCAGCATAATGAAGTCCTTATAGTTGTTACATAAGCCTCCTCTTATGATGCGTATATGATGCCTAAAGAAGCTGCGTGTATGAAGTTACCGTGAAATAACAGTAGATTAATCATACTGACAATTAACATGGACAGCACATTATTTCATTTAGCAGCAGAGATTATCAGGTTTCAAGCACTGAAGCTTAAAAAGGGCCACTCTTCCTATTGGCTAGCAGTGTTTGTGTATCTGCGTCCATATGTGCAGATGTGAGTGAACTCCATCCACCCATAGTTTATGTAGATCTTTGTAACAAAGGCCAGGGGGGGGGGGGGGGTGTGTGTGTGTGTGTGTGTGTGTGTGTGTGTGTGTGTGTGTGTGTGTGTGTGTGTGTGTGTGTGTGTGTGTGTGTGTGTGTGTGTGTGTGTGTGTGTGTGTGTGTGTGTGTGTACACCAATAAATTATCTCACGGACTGCTTATAGGGAAAAGCATGCTCACATAAACACAAATAAGTCAAAACCAGAGTGCACTTATTTGTATTGTGCCAGTAAAAGTTATTTCTTTCTTTTCCCATTGTTAAAACAAACAGCTAGATCCCTTACCAGCACGTTTCTCTCACCCTCATTACAGTGCTTCTCTGTCAAATTCAAGCCTTTGAACCTCAGCAGGCAGGACTCTTTTAATGGTGGAAGTGAATTAATACAATCATACTTATTCAATTTTCTGCTAATGTTGTACTTAAGTTAAAAGTTACTTTGCCGATTCAGATCAATAATGCAAAACATAATAACGTTTTATTAATAAATGTTGTATTATTCTAGGTTAAGATAGTACATTATTGATCTTAGGGGCAATATAGGAACAATCCAGCAACAATACAATTGGTCATTCTGGGTGGCATACACATGTCTTGCAGACGTTAGGTTCATCACACTAATGCATGCAGCAGCCCACTTCCAGTGAAGCATTAGTTATGTGATTAATGACAAGCGGCCCAAGCACAACTGTGTGTGTGTGTGTGTGTGTGTGTGTGTGTGTGTGTGTGTGTGTGTGTGTGTGTGTGTGTGTGTGTGTGTGTGTGTGGTACCTGGTAGTGTAAGTCCGTAAGTTGTCCGTGTACGTACGACGTACGACTACGTAGTACGTAGTGTGTAGTGTGTGTGTGTGTGTGTGTGTGTGTGTGTGTGTGTGTGTGTGTGTGTGTGTGTGTGTGTGTGTGTGTGTGTGTGTGTGTGTGTGTGTGTGTGTGTGTGTGTGTGTGTGTGTGTGTGTGTGTGTGTGTGTGTGTGTGTGTGTGTGTGTGTGTGTGTGTGTGTGTGTGTGTGTGTGTGTGTGTGTGTGTGTGTGACCCCTGTCACTTCCTCCGCTCATAAATCATAGGCGAAGGGTTTCAGTAACGAGCCTTACCGCTGTCAAACAATCAAAGTCAAGCAGACTGACACAACAGTGCTGAGTCGTAAACACACACACACACACACACCAGTTGATTCTCGTTCATATGTCCAGCCACTAGTTTGTTTATACTAAAGTGCCAGTCTGTGACAGGCAGCGGCCCTCACTCAGCAGAAACAGGCTAAGGCCTCCATTGTTCAGACTTCCAGGCCGCCGAGCGCAGATTAAAGCCAGACTGTCACTCCAAAACATGTCACTGATGTTCTGTCCCAAACACGGAGCACTCTGGTATGCGTTATTGTGCTCCTTGGTTCTTGATGCAGCCACTATCCTTGTTTCATGTATCACAATGTGTCCTGTAGGAATGACATAGAATTGTGTCCCTGTAGCAACATGAGAGGAACTGGAGTCTGACAAATATTCACAATAGCTTTGGTGGCTAACTCTGAGAGAGCAAAAGACGATATCAAAGCAGGGAAGTACAACAAAATAATGCAAAGAGTTTTCTCACTCAGCGTGTAACTTCATTTTTGTTTGTGACACACTACCACGTGTGTTTTGGCTGAGATGTCTGCTCAGATGTGCAGACACAAGGTTTCACGCAGCATCCTCAACAATTACACCTTACTGGATAATTAGCAGTCTGCACCGCAGGGAGTCCAATAAAAGACAGCACAGACACCTCTCGCCTGTTTCATTGGGATTAAGATACACACATATGCATGTATGAGCATGCACACACACACCTACACAAACATAGACACAGAGAAATGCCCCCCTGCAGGCCAAGTTATTTTCCAGAAATGTGCCTAATTGGTGGGAATGCTGAGTCAAACTTTTTTTTTTACTGAGGGCCGCTGCAGGAAGAGATGGCAATGCAGACTAGAAATACACACAAAGAATACGCACACTTAAAGAAAATGCATTGTTTCATTTCCCCCACAATCACTTGAGGTTTTTGTGGTAATCTCAGGCACATATTCTTACTTTCTCTCAACATTATTCTCCAGTTTTTTTTCATCCTTTTATTCAATGTTTTTTCTGCAGCCTGATCCATTTCTGGTGAGAGATGAATATATTTTCCTAGTGGCTTTTTTGTTCTGTCTTTTTTTTAAATTAAAATTCATGCTCATTTTCCATCCTTGCAGACTCTTGTTGACCGTATGTCTTTTATACACTGTAAGTAAACTATAACAAGTCAGCTATTAGAAATAAAGCACAAAATGGATTAAGGGCCACATATCAAAATACAAGTTCCCTTGGCTTCTGTGTTCCTTAAACATATTCCAATCCATAAAAGCTACTGGCCCATTTTTGCTGTTATTAAGTTAGGCTCGTATATTTTAAAGTCAGCCTTTTTGATTTTGTTACAAAAGAAAGTCTTTGTGATTGAATTATAGCTCCAGGTTGCTATAGTAGCTCTGGGTCTTATTTTATTCCATATTGGATAAGTTAGTTAACGTATCTTATACTGCTGGTGTATGCAAGCTGTCAGCTTCCAGATATTAGATAAACCCCTTTATTGTTTCTTGTTTAAACTAAACCCTCTCTCCCACACACAAAGGAAGAAACACACAGCTTTAGTCCCAAACTGCTCACAGGCTACTGTGTGTCTTATTAGCAGCCATACATTTGTCTGTTTTTGCTCTGGCTCAGACTCCGCAGCCGATGACCTCACCCTGTGCACCTCGTCTACTCATCCTTACGTGTCTTGCCCTGATAAGCGCTGCCAGATGCAGAGCGATCACTGCGTGCGCCGTCCACACATGTATATCCAGAGAAAAGGACACAGATAACAGATTACAGTGACATGTGCAGGCTGATTAAAATGCTCTGCCTGACATGACAAACACATTGTGCTGCATTTATAGAGTGGTGAAACTACAACCTGCTGTATGTAGCTTCCACTGTACGATCCTTACTCACAACTTTTGCCACTCATGATCAAATAATGGTCATTTGATCCCAGTCAGTTTTTCCACCCCATCTAGCCAAACTTCTGCTTATTTCAGGGGCTTTCAATAATAAATCCTCAAAGGCTTTTTTCTTGTACTTCTCTTTTATACAGACAAACTACTTATGTTATTAAAGAGAGACGTTCTTTTACACAGGGCCAGCAAATGATTACATAACCTTTTGATGGGGGATTGCTCCAAGGCATGATTCCCTCCTTCCTGCTTCTACTTTTCCTTCCATCCTTATGTGCCACTGTCCATCCATCAACGCTGGCTGTGACGACACTGGTAGTTTTTTTCTAAAGGACCTCAGGGCAGAAAGCACCCACAGGCCTGGTAAATCAGAGAGATGAAGAGAAAAATCCAACTCAAGGAAGTCATCCAAGGCCAGAGATGGCAATAGTTAATGATGGCTTCCAGTCTGAAGAGGCACCAGGGACCTGTTGCATAAACAAAGAGTAGTCTTGACCTTAGACTGTCAGGTCAGACCCGTGTGATTAAGCCTGTCTGTTGCATAAATATTAAGACTTAGTTTATTTAAGGGGGTAAAGTTAGCCACGTCTCCACCTGGCTTAGCCTAAGATAAGAGCTTTGTTGCAAACAACTGTCAAAACCATTAGCTAACTATTTAGTTCATCACTTTAAGCAACTTACCTCAGTGGTTTTATCCCTTAAATGTAGCTAACCTTTTAACAGTTCATTCATTACTTTTAACTTCTTGTAGCCTTCTTCAATCTTTTCTAAACATCTTTAGCGCTTCTAAAGACCGTTAGATTTATGCGGTTGCTCTTTCTGTTTTTTTCTCCCATTTAATAATTGTTTATATTTTCCTTAAACTACTAGATAACACAATATGTTCTGAATGCTATTCCTTAGTAGGAACATGTTGATTTATTGCCACTAAGTGTGGCCATTGTATTGACCAAGTTTTCTCTTTTTGTGAAATGGATGTCTTATTTCCCCCATAATGCTGTGTGCGACAGGCTTTTTAAGACATTTCTATGTATCTGGCCAGGACTGTGAGACTCAAGGGACCCTGCAATAACTGTTAGCTTAACGTCAAGTGTTGTCATTAAGGAGGAGGTCAACACTAGCCTTTACTACATACATCACTTTTAAGTGTTTTCAGAAAGGTTGATCTTAGTGTTCCTTTATGTTTGAAAATGTATCTAAAGGTTTCTGCCTTTGAACTGAGACTTGCTTTGCAGAGGAGGTTCAATGACTGCTGGGCTTCTTTGGTGAGGTAAACAAAGTGGATCATCCAGCTGCTGTTTCAGCCTGGGTGAGCCGGACAGGGACTTTAAACGTATTCAACCGCCTGCTGGATTATCTCACCACAAACACACAGAGACACGGTGGATGTGCGGTTGTGTGGAAGTTCAATACAGCTGGACTGAATCCACCAAGGGTCTCTCATGTTGGAGACCACACTCTAAATCTTAGAATAATTATAAATCAACTGGAAACGTCTTAATATTTGAGTCTCATGTGTGCACTTAAACACGGACACACACACAGTTAAATGGGGCAGGATATACATAAAGGATTTGTATAAAAAGTTCTTAATTTTCCTGCTTTTTTTCCACAATCATTGCAGCTGTTTCTCTCTCTTGTTTACAAGCATGCTTTTTACTGTCCTCTCTGCAAACGTTTTTCTTGCCAAATTCACTTAACTGTTTTTCCTAAGTTGAGATCACTTGCATTGTTTTTTCTTAGAGATACGGAGACAAGACTCAAACATTATTACAATACTTATAAATAACAGCCAGTTAATTATATTTTATGGGGGGAGATTGTCAGTGGATTTAAACAAACAATGCCTTAATCATATTTTATTTTATTATTATTCACGGCGGACTGTTTTATGAAGCCACTCGTCAAAGGAGTAGTTTAACATTTTTGGAAATATGTTTAACTTCCATTTTAAGATTTAGACTACACTAATGTGTAATCTGTACTAAAAACTGAAATGTTTTTTTTTTTTTATTATTTGCAAGGTTCCAGACTTTTATTTTGCCAATGACTTTAGATATATTAAATGTAAACTAACCTTTTCTTGGCTCTAGCTCATGTGTGCGCTATAACCACTTTTCCAAAAATGGCAAACTATTAATTTTAATGATTTTGTTTTGCTTTTTGTTTTGTCTTTTGCCATAATGTTTGTCTTTGATTCAACAGGGTCCTCTTGGCTTGGATGGGAAACCAGTGAGTATTCCCAAAATCAAATGTGTGAAATTTGCTTTAGGGGCTGGCAATAGTTGTATTTAAATATATTCTAATTCTTCTTCTTCTAATTTCAGGGTTCTCCGGGTCCTAAGGGAAGCCAGGTACACATCACACACCTGTTGTCTTGTTTTTAATAACACATGTAAATTACACTTAAGCAAATCCTTGTCAAAGATCTTCTGAACATACAGGTGGGCCATAGGCCTGTGATAAAGTAAGACAGGTGAGGCTTTACTAAACCAGCACCTGTCTTATTTCATCAATCATGTTTACTGTTCCTTAGGGAGCGCTGCAACTGAGTGAAAAAACTCCGATAGCCGTCTTGTTTCCTGTTCCAGCTCTTAAGTCATCCCAGGGCTCACAGCCACGGGGGACTCATGGCTCAACTAAACCAAGCACTTCACCTTTGAGTCTCATCCATCACCCCGCTGCACCCCCAGACACACCCAGCTGTAGCCAGGAAACAGGCCTAGCACAGAGAACAGGTCACACACCAGTGGGAAAAGTGAGGGAGAGAATACAGTTTACAACCTCTACGGGGGCTCTTTAAAAAGTAATTATTATACCCTCTCTACCCCCCGTCTCTGGTCGCTGTGCCCACGAGAAGGACAAGTCATCTGCTGTAAACTCCTCACAGCAAAAGGAGAGCTGTTTGAATAGCGACTCTCTAAACACCGTTAACTTGTTGTTTCCTGCAAAAGGAGACCTCAAGCTGGGTCTGTCTTTTAAGAGGACAAGCCCAATCATAGAGCCTCTGTAAAACCCCAGCAGGTGTGACACAGAGCTCAGGACCAGAGTGGCCTTAGTATTCAAGGGAGATAAAAACAAGAGAATAAAGGATAAAAGCAGTTTGATTATCACACACCTACAGGAGAAGTGGTGTGCTGTCACTGAAGGAAAGAGCAGAGCATGAAGGAGATAAGCTGCAGTCTGTCATCATGTGGCCAGTCACATTAACAACATGCTTATCCTCTGCACCAGCCCCCCCCCTCTTCAGTACTCCTGAACACAAGTACAGCTCCAGTTCAGACAAAATGTCTACCAGACAGAGAAGAGGTGAGGAGAGGGGGAACAAATCAGAAAAGGGATTCTTCATGCCAGATTGCATGGCAGATTTAGAGGCTGAATGAAAGCAGGAGGAGTGTGTGAAATACAGTATGGAGTGAGTGAAAAGAATAGATAGTTTAGAGAACAAAGATGTGAAAATGGTGATTGGGATGTAAGAGGTTAGGCCTGCTCACTGTAGTCACTTTAAGAGAGACATGGGCTAAGGTCAGAGACAGAAGCAGGAGTCCATGTAGTCCTCGCTGCCAGGCTCTAGTCTGTAATGCCGCCACATTTTGGGTTCTTGTGCCACTGATTCCGGCAGACTAAGAGATGGAAAAGGCACAAATAAACCAACTGGCGGGATCAGATCATCTGTGGCTCTGGTGTTCATGAGACGATATCACAGAGTCACTGTGTGTCAACATCTCAACTACTTCACATGAGCACAGCCTGCAGACCGGGTTTTTAGTTAACGTTTGTGAAATGCGCTCAGAAAGAATCGGAATACGTTTATTCGTCTCTCAGTGGACATTGAAATGTGTTACAGCAGAAAATAACCAAAGATAGCTTAATGTTAACTAAGAAGTATGCATGTGTTTTTTGTAACACAATTTACAAAATACACATACGAAGTGACTTGTTATTGAACAGTCTCCATGGCACGGCTGCATTAAGGGGTATTACTTACTTGCCTTTCCAATTGATTGAATACTTCCTGGTAGCAGCCAGTTGAAGACAAACGTTTTTATGATATACGTTTCTGATATGATAACTGATTTATGTTGACCAACTGTCTCCAATTATCTCCTCCTTCATACAGGGACCAGCCGGACCCAAGGGAGATAAGGTATGCTTCCACAACCCTGCCAGACAAGTCAATGCACAGCATTGATGTTTTTCTTTGTCACAGGCGGAGAGCTTCACACACACTTACAAACACCTGACAGGTGTTCTCTGCATCGCCCTCACACATTAACGCTTTCACTGCACGTCCATCAAACAATCCATAGATTACATTTAGTTATGTAGAAGCTCGTATACGTCTTCTCACATTCTCACGTCAAGGAGCGCTATACAGGTTTACAGGCCTTCCACAGTGCTCGATGATAGCCAGATGTTTTGCCGCTCTGCCCAGCCTGAGATGTGAGCGACTGTAATAGCTCATGCTTGTGGTCATTTGTGTACACTACACACCGATGGGTAACTTTGCATATGTACATTTTTGCACTCAAACTGAAATTGTCCAGATAAGCACAACAGAAGTAAACAGTATCTGTCAGATGAGCGTGTAAATTACGGGTGATGCTTAGGTTTGGATAATTGGCCCTTTTCATGTTACCATGCTAGGCCTGTGATGAGATCATGAAACAAAATCCCACTTCTAATTTCATCGCCTCCTGTCAGATGATCTCAATTGTAGCCTGTCGAATGATTTATGCAGTAAATGTTGACTTCCTGGGATGGCTCGGGTACAGATGACCTTTGATTCTCTTCCTGTCTGTACACAAGTCGTATGTTTTAAGCCTGTCTGTCACAGCTTCTCTATAGTAGCAGTGTTTTACATCCTCCTGTGTGCATATGCGGTGGTAATGACTGCTGACGGTTATTATTTTCCTGTTTTTCTCACAGGGTGACCAAGGAGACGTTGGGCCAAGGGTAAGTCATGCTTTCTGTTTTTTGCCTGAGAAGGGGAAACAAGGTGTTTTTATGAGTGTTTTAGAAGATATTTGTTCACTACGGCTGAGCTGGCTGAAAAGACCTTTCCTGTTTGGTTCCTCAGCAGATCGTTGCAATTTAAAAAAGGAGCTTCCATTACTGGAAATCATCCTTAAAGTTTCTTGTTTTCGGTCATACTGTATCTCCTTTTCTGATTCCCACTGCCTTTTTTGGGGTCACTTGACATGCACTTTTTATGAAAAAACTGAAAACGTTGAAGTTTCTTTCTTTGCTGTTTTCCTTTACATCTTGTTTTGAAAAGTACTAAATGTAACAAGAATGTACATTATACCTTTTTCTGAATATCAAAAGCCATTTATTTTTAAGGAAAAATACATAATTTCCCATCTTGTCAAGATTAAGATAGAAAGATTGATACCCTGGAAACCTACGCCAACCCAGGGAACATGTGCAGCTTTTAGGAGAACCAGACCATCACAATTTGGAAATCAAAAAAGTTTTAATAATATTTGTGGAACTACTTATCATTTACTTGTAATCACAATAGTGGGACATTGTGCTTGTGCAAACAGACATAAAAACATTTGAAAGAAAACATTACTGATCACAAGTTTTGGCACATTTTGTTCTTCCCACATAACATTTAACACTCGAGGCTTTCATTAATTCAAAAGAAAAGTGCCGCTTCCCCAGCAACAACATAGTCCTGCTCCTATGATGAGGTTTGAGTTGCCCACATCGCCAAAGCCGGAGATGAAAAATGATGATATTAAAAAACGATGGAAATACTTAAATGTCACCATCAAAACCCAATGGTTGGGGCGGTGAGCCAAAGCTGCCATCTAGTCTCTACCAAACTATGTTTTTTTATATTACAGAGGAACCTTGCTCTGCATCTGGTCCATGTTACGGTGTTGTCTTTTCATGTGATATCATTCTGCACACTATGAGATCTGTGTAATTATCTCCTATTTCATTCAATGTGGTTTTGAAATAAGCCCCCTGTTCTTTACATGGTAAGCGGCTTGGAGTCTTTGAAGAAGGCATGTACCCAATGACTCCTGAATTTTTTTTTTTTAAATGTGTTTGATTATGTTTAGAATTCAAACAAGGTCAAGATCACACTTCCTCATACGGAAAATAAATGTCGCTACTGAGGTCATCTTTGCATAATCTGGGGTTTGTGCCCAAGATCAAAAACATTTTATTTTCCTGGTCTTGTGTGTAATTTTTGAAATTTTCCTGTAGAACTGGAGTGATCATTTTGATCACTTTAAATGCAATTTTTTTTAAAGTAAACATGAAAAGGCTTCCATCAAAATGAGTTCAGTGCTTCTCAAAGTGTGGTCCGCGGACCACTGGTGGTCCGTGAGCGCCCCCTAGTGGTCCGTGAGTATATTGGTAAAATTTCACATTTGAAATAAATTAATTAATTAAAGTTTTCCGCACTCTCGCGGAAATATCTCCATAATGGAGCGAGCTAAAGTTTCACTTTTGATTGCATGATATAGCCCAGATAAACACCTTCATCACACATGTTGCAACTTGTTTGTACCATTTTCAGGCGATTTATAAAAAACGATGTGTTTTGGGATATTTGTGGAGTTAGGTGGTCCGCAAGTGTTTTTTTATTGGTTAAGTGGTCCTTGGTATGAAAACGTTTGAGAAACACTAATTTATTAACTTTAGGTTTTTGGATTGTTGTAGAAATGCAAATAATTATTATGTTTGATGATGTATATCAAGCTCACTTTCACTTTGTATGAAGCCATATATATTTAGATATATACTGTATGTTTAGATACTCTCAACAAATTTAGATAAGTGCTACATCTACCTTTACCGGACATGAACTATGAGCCAGTATTTTCACGGATGTTTTTTTATGAGGACCAAAACTCTCACTGTGAGCCATGCACTTACACTATCAAAATACTTGCACATTATATATTTATAGAAACTACAAATGTTCCTCTTAATGCTTTTAGCTACTTCCTGATGGTCTTTAGATTATTTAAAACATATCTCACTCTCATAACGAACGAGGGTTAGAATAATAATTATAAATGGATGTTTAGTCATAAATCTTCTCCGAGTTGGAGCCTAACAATATTGGCATAACAGTGTGTGTTATGAGTATTGGATTGATGAATGAATGGCTATTGTTTTTTACCCGAGCACAAATGGAGTGTAAATTTGACAGAGCTGCCCAGTGGAACATTATTCATGATGCGGATCAGAAACATTGCAGGAATTGCTGATTTCCATCAAGGCGTACGCTGTTTGATTTCCCATCTTCTCCTCTAATGGTTGGTGCAAGATTAAATATTGTTGGCATTCTGCTTTGCAAACTTCTTCCAAATGGAAAATATTACATTTGGACAAGACTTCTGGGGCTGAACCTGAACCTCAGAGTATTGCTTAGAGACACATAGTTGGTTCAAAACAAACCCTGCAGCTCCTAAAACTACTGTATTTATGAATGAGGTTTGGCATTGGAGTACATTTTCATAGATACTGTAGGTTAGCAAATGAAAAACTGTTGGTTGCTGAATCTTTAAAACATGACTTTCCGAACGGCTATGAATCAAAGCCTAGTGAGGTTGAGCAGATAAAAGGTGGTGGGAGTAAATCCTCCATTTGTATGCTCATTCATCAACCTGCCCCGATCTCGACACTGAACGCTGATTCACCTCTGAACTCTGACAAAGGATGAGAGAAAACGTGTGAAAAACAGGAAGTGGCAATGAATCTCTGCCAATGTGACTTCCTGTCAATCCGTCATTTTCAGTGCATTTGTCAGGTTGAATCTGGTCCCAGATCAGATTAGAAACACAGGATAACAGGGGTGATAAAGAACAATCAGAAGTCACAAAACGACGTATGTGTAGAGCTATGGTGTAGAGCCTATTTTGAACCTCTTATGGAATGGCATAAAGGTGGTAGCCATAACCAACCTCCATACTGTCACATCCATATGCAGGACATAGTTAATGCATGTTTAGGTTCATCTTGCGGCTCTGTTGAAAGACGAGCCAAAATAGGAGTTTGATCACCAGCCAAGGCCTTCTCTGTTCTCCACAGAAACAGCTACAACAAGGCCATGGTTAGACAGGGCTCCAAGGTTGAATGGCTGTGTGTCTTAGTATCAGCTTAAAGTCTGATGAGAACAAGGTAAAGGGAAAACCCACTGTGAAACAGCCTATTCTCTTATGAGATGTTTAAGAAGCATTGTGTATGTGGTCTCCATGGTGGTAACGGTGTGAATGAGTGAATGTGACAGTGGGGGGAGAGAGGAGTGAATAGGCAAGGGGGGGAAACCCTCAGCTATCCAACGCCGACCACGGCCTGTTAACAGAAACCTCATGAGCAGGCTAGCATCTCTGAGTCCCTCTCCCCTGTCTTAGATCTTCTCTCCATCCATCCCTCCTTGTGTTTTCAGAGGGAACTCAACCAGAGAAGCAACACATTGCTCCGAGCTCTGTGGTGGCAGACCAACTCTGCTCCTTTCAGCCTGACAGACAATCATCACAGTTACAGTCTGTCGGCTGGAAAGAGCCAAGCCGCCTCTGTTATGTTTGGTCACAAAGAGACGGATGGGAGGAAATGTAATAGAAAAAACACCCACAGTGAAATATATGCTTGAGTTAGGGATATTGTTTCTGAAAAGGTCTCAGTTTAGATTTAGTTAGTTTTTATTGAAGCGTTTGTTTCATTTACAGACAATTTAATTCATCAAAGGTATATCTATCTTGTTATGAGGATATTTAAACCTTGAGCCCCTTTCAACCACACTGCTATGACACAAAAAGTTGCTCACCTTTGTCACTTCCTCTCTCCAGGGTCCTTCTAACTACAGCCCATATGCAGGTCTGCACAGTAATCAGATTCTCACCGTCAAGGTTTGTTCTTCGGAGCTTCCTGTTTCGTAGTCCTCCCAGCAGTCACCTGTCAGGCTGCTGATCTGTCACTTTCCTTTCAGATAGAGGAGCAAGACTCTCCTCTGGAGCTTTTGCTTTTGGCTTACAGCTTTAGAGGCTGCTGAACTCTCATCTGTTTTTTCCTGCAGCAGATGTTTCCCTCCTTATTTGCAATCTCTTAATAACTATTGGTTTTGGATATTTACTCACTTTTCTCTTTTCTTCTCCCTCTCTTTTGTCCTCAAACACACTCTGTGTCCTCTCCTTTTTTTTTCTTTCTCGCTGTGTTTCTACTTTTCGTCCTTGTTGCTATACTCTTGCATCTCAGTTGGCCTTCCCCAGATATGACCATGGCTTTATCACTGGAGATCAGTCCGGTAGCTTTCAGAGACGCTTTCTGAAGGTAGACCACAACTAAGGCATGTGTGCACTTTTAACACTTTAACCCATGTTCTCTTATGCATGTTATAATCAGCTATGCAGCTCCTATCTTCAATACTTTCTAACTCGTGTTTAATTTCATTGATTTTATGTTCAATATTTTTCCAAGTGTATGTAAGTTACTTTTGTTAAAGCAAACCATAATGCACTGCATGTCTGCAGAGAGGAGAGGGTGCAGAGGCAGTGTCACCATGTGATTGTATAGAAGACAACACTGAGCCTGCATCCCCTCGTGTGTTGAGCAAGAATTTTAGGGCATTATTGGTTACTTTTTGGCATAAGTCCCCAGTTAGATGTTAACTCAGTGATGAACATTTCCTTAATAGGTAGTGACAGACTTTAATAAAATAAACAGATGATGTTGTTTTCAGTTGTGATTTTGTCAGCATGGTTGTGTTTTACTTTGTGTAAAGTCTGACTCACCCTGTAAAAAACATATAAACCGCCTAGCGCGAAACCTCAGATGTGGAGCATCGAGCAGATGCAAAGCAAGTTGTTTGATCTCAGAATTGGGAGAAACCAAAAATAACCCTAATAATAATAAATATTGCACTAAGGCTCAGCTGAATACCAAATTAATCCTAATTACTTTAATGTTGCTCCCTTCCCAGTGGATGAGTAAATAACCATGTGTTTGCTTACTACTCCCAACTCAAAAGTGAATGATATTGTTTTTGTTTCGCCAATGGCCCAAAAGATCTATTGCTTTAGACTACAGTCAGTCAAAGAAATAGAGCTATTATTCAAATTAAGTTTTGCTTTTCCATGGTCCTCATATTATTGTTTTCTTCTTTTTTTTCCATCAGGGTGACCAAGGCCAGGCTGGCGCCGCTGGTCCTCCCGGTCCTCCGGGCCCCCCCGGCCCCAGAGGCCCCCCTGGAAACACAGGCAAGGATGGTCCACGTGGCCCTGCTGGAGAGTCGGTAAGAGCTTCACCTCAAGCACCACCAGGGCCAAATGTACACCCACTTAACAAAAAAATGCATACACACCAACACACACACACACACACACACACACACACACACACACACACACACTCCACTGTTTTTATTCTCCTCCTCTGCCATTATTATTTCCCTTTTCCTCATCCTCTAACTTACACCACAAAGAATGAAGCCACGTAAAGCACCTCAGTAGTCGACCTGACCTGGTAGGGTTCAACCGCAGGGTGGGAGAGTTTGCAAATGTATGTTTGTGTTCTGTGTGTACATGTGCTTTTATAAACATGTATTATACAGACTATGGTATTAAGGGGTAAAGGGTCTATGCAGTAAATTGCAGTGATCCTATATTGTCATTCTTCCGGGTTTGCCAGTGTGCTGTGGCTTACCTAAAAGATCCCAGAATAGCAACTATACTCCTGGACTCATCTGTTTTCTGTAAGAAAGCGACCACAAGTTCTCCAACACACCCCGATTCTCCCACCCTCCTACCACGACTGTGTCGCTGTGCACCCCTGAAACAGATACGGCTCTGTGGCGGCGAGTTCATGGTCAGTTTGCTGGCCTCACCAAACAATAGTTGTGCTACTCGCCTGAGGCAGTTTATGTTTCTCAAAATTAACTTCTGATTTCCAGAGCTTAGCTTGTATGCAGCGTCAGCTTAGATCTGTGGTCGTAAGATGGAAAAAAGAAATAGGCTATAAGGGTTATTGTTGTTTAACCAAATGAAGGAATGAATGCTCTGTTACACTCAACTGGCACAGGACAGCAAAGGGATTCAAGTGAAAAATGTCGGTCTCAGTGTGGGTGAGTGGTGAGCTTACACAGAACTGACAAAAGATAATGCCAGCACAGCGCAAAGATATTACTAAAAGCAGAAAAGGTCGAAGTGAGGGAGCTGTTTGTAACCTAGCCAATTTCAAATGGTTCCTCCGAGTTGATTAAAGGCAATTCAATACCAATAACAGCTAAATAAAGCAGGGTGGCGCTAAAAGAAGCTCCATGTTGTGTGCAGATGTGTGAGTGGGCTGAGCAGGAGACAGTTAGCATGGCTGTGGGTGTCCTCTAAGCCTTCGTTTGTACATAGTGGAAAGTGAAATTCGCAACTAGTTTCTGTCTGATGGGTTTTTTATTTGAAATGGTAAATAACATGTGCTTTTCTTCAACACATCTAAATTCAAGATATCATGAAGTGAATGTACTATTTTGAAATGTATCTGACATCCAGATTGCTCTTCATCCATACTCTTCTGCACTGAGGATAAAAGAAGCGCTAAAAATGATTTGCAAAGACGATTTATTTCCCGCTGCTATTGAAGACAGATCAAAAGATGTGTAGGGTTAAAAAAGAGGATAAGAAGCGGCTGAGGATGGAAATAGAAGAAAAACATAGAGCAGTAGATGGATCAGGATGACAGTGTGTATGTGCTGGCAGAGAGCAGGAGGAATAAAAACATGCCGCTGCACATCTAAATAGTTTTGCACATTATTGGAAATATGAGGACAGAGTGGAAGGCTTATACACTGCAATTTATATCATGCATTTATTGCAGTGCACTCAGTGAAAGTAAACACAACTGCTTGATAGTGGGAAGTGTGTGTGAGAGAGGGAGAGTAAGAGAGCTGTCTCTGCTATGGATGACTTCATAACAGATGTTGCTCCACACACACGTCCACCTGGCCCGCTCAAAGCCATGATAGGTCAGTTTACTAAGTAAGCCGAATCACTGATGGACAGATGCCAGAAAGAGGACATGCAATACTCTCTTAGAGTTTGTTTTGGGAGGAGCGAGGGGCTTAATCACTTATCATTCACTGGGAACTTTCCAGAGCTCCAGTGCAGGGTTATTATTGAAAACTAAAACAATATACTTTAAGAAAACGTATTTAAAATCTTTAGTAGTTAAAAAACGATTGAAATGAACAACAACTCATTTCATTTTACTTTTTCTCTTTGCTATAAAAAATCGGTACAATTGGAAAAAATGACACGCAATTCTCCATCAACTGTGGACTTGACATTCCAGAAGATGGGGCTAAGTTAAAAATGATTCACAATTACTACCTGTTGTATTTAGCATGCAGAATTAAAACAAGCAAATATGCAGTCTGAAAACTAAACTTCTATGGAATTAAAAAGTAACATATAAAATAATTCTAAATTCTAAACTATTATAACCCTTTTTATATATATATAGATGGTGACACATAGGAAAAGCAGCAGAAAGTGTCCTAATAATTAGGGTGTTGATGATGGTGGTTAAGAGCGCTGTCAGACACCTCAGTCTAAAACTCCCAGGTGTTAAATTAGATTGAGATCTGATGGCTGTAGCATATGTAACCATTCAGTGATCCTTCGTGCCCTGAGGAAGCATCTGTATCTTGTTTCTCCTTTGTCGCCCGTCTGTGTTTACTTTTTTTTAAAAGTGCTTTCTAGACTGGAGTTCATGGGCCGCTCATGCCTTGTTCGACACTGACATCTAGAGGCTGAAGTTGTCTGATCTTTAAAGGAAATGTAACAGACCAAGGCTGAGGTGAAATAGTGTTTTTCTGTCTGTAAGGTTCCTAACTGAGCCAGAAGACCCGTATGTTCCGAAATAGCAGCCATGATAATTACTGATCACATTCTCTAAATGCTTTGGAAGTGTGCTTTAGTGTTTCCTTTCTTATCTTTGCTAGCATAGTGTAAACTTGAATGTCCTTTACGAAAGAAATGTCAATACATCATCATTTCTGTATGTGAGCCTACTCAGTGCTTCTCAAAGTGTGGTCCGCGGACAACTGGTGGCCCGCGAGCGCCCCCTAGTGGTCCGTGAGTATATTGGTAACATTTCACATTTGAAATTAATTAATTAATTTAAGTTTTCCGCACTCTCGTGAGAATATCTCCGCAATGGAGCAAGCTTAAGTTTCTTTTTCGATTGCATGATATAGCCCAGATAAACACCTTCATCACACATGTGGCCACTTGTTTGTACCATTTTCAGGCGATTTGTAAAAAAACGATGTGTTTTTGGATATTTGTGGAGTTAGGTGGTCCGCGAGTGTTTTTTTATTGGTTAAGTGGTCCTTGGTATGAAAAAGTTTGAGAAACACTGGAGTAGAGGCACAACATACAAATATGTAGGGATGGGTATCGTTAAGGTTTTAACGGTACTACTACTTTTATGATTCCGCTTATCGGTCCGGTCTTTTTAACGGTACTTTTTATCGGTTCTTTTGGAGAAAAAAAATAGGTAAACTAACTAAACAAATTGTGAACAAAACTAACAAAATAAATAACTCAGTTACCTCTAATCATTAACCCATATTTGTATAATTGAGTTAACTCTGTGTTGCTTGCTAGCATACATAACACCTGACGTAGGAAAAGTTACTCGTGGATGGAGCTACTAGAAAGACAGTTGAACCCGGTGCATT